CACAGCGTCTTCACAACATGGCGGCAGCAGCAACAATAAAGTTACACCTTTCTTTGCGTGAACATTTGGCCGGTGTTATGCAAATCATCCCACATCGTGACGTAGACATGTGGGGGCGTGTTTAAACGAGGCATTTTAGGAGTACGTGGACCAGTCTTAACTTTTATAAAGAATATCTCTTTGGGTTTGAGACTTTAGTCTTTGCAACTTTAGGGATCATATCTATTCACGAACAGCTTGTAACACTCCATAGAGAAAGGAAAACTTGAAATCGCATCATATGGCCCCTTTAATGTAGTATGAAAGCGTATTGTAACTTCATCAAAAAAAAAAAACCTACTTGAAACTACGCTGGAATAATGTCTCATTCTGTACTATGGCAACTTGCTGACATCTGGTGAATTACATTTGGACACATGACTGCCCACATTTATACATCAGCAACGGCCATTTAATGTTCAGAAACTTGGCCTGTCGGTGTGTGTAGCATCTACAGCTCTGCATTTTATATAAAAATAAACAGAGATTTATTTTGAACAAAGTGCCTGATCATTTTAGTATGACCTTCTTAGTTTGTAGCAGATTTAAATGACGGGGCAGTTAAAAACTCTATTCGACACAGCAAACCTTCAGCTTGTTAGTGACTGCAGGAAAGCACTGTATTTCAATGCATATACAATGAAGGCATTCCTTTATAATTCAACAAGGCACAGTAGCAAATGAGAGAGGGTGGGAAAAGTCACAAACTAATTTTGTTCAGAAAAAAAAAATTCCTAGCATTATGTTAATAATTTTGTTCGACAGGACCCCTTTAAAGACAGCCCACCTGCTGTTTTATAAATTATAATATTCTTTGATAACATATCTTTTAATTAACTTGCTCTTTAAATAGCTTTGTTTCAAATCTTTCTCTGAACAGTAAAGAAAGCTGAAGCCCGCACCTGGTCTGCTTGGCCACATCCTGTAGAGAAGAGCCACTCTGCAGTGCTGTGTAAGAGAGGTGAAGCACAGCCATACCTAGACATTCATTCTTAAAACCACTGATCTCTTCTTCTCCCTTCACTGCATCCAAACATGTCAAGTCATTCACAAAATCATATTTCGCCTGGTAAGAAAATCAACAAAATCAACTTAGTCAACTTAAAAGACTCGGACAATTTGAAATATTCTTTGGACAATAGTCAAGACATAACAAATAGCAAAATATAATTTATCATAGAAAACTTTATCATTTAATCGTTATCATTTTTTAAAGCTTCATGTTGACCTTGTATTGAATATGAAGTGCTGCTATACTTCCTCAACCTACATGCATGCTTAGTCAAATGGTACTATAAAAGTTTTTCCCATTTTATTTGTCATTTCTCTCTGTTTTTTTGTCAGATTATTTATCTATTTTTACAAGCAACCAATTTGATTCACTAGCTAGAAAATGTACTGAAGCCATTTTATTTGAAGCAATGTCAAAAACGGTTGAGTCTGCACCAAATGTTATATGTAAATAATTATTAGGTGCATTAATTCAAGAAAGCAGTTAAAATCGCACACTAAACTACACATTATATTCAATAAAAACCAAAAGATCAAGGTTAAATAACCAATCTGAAAAGTGTAAGTTTTTGTCAAACTTACATGGTGACACAAAAAATGAAAATGTGCACAAAAAGCAGAAGCAAAAGTTTCAGACCCCACAGACTATTTTCAGTGCTTGTTGTCCAGTTACATTTAAGCAAGATAGACACTATTATTCCTTAACAACAGAATAACTAAAGATAAAAGTAAAAATAGGGTAAGTCTATCAAACATTGTGCTGTTCCTGGCTGTGTGAAGCACCTGCAGCTCTGCATATCTTTCTGATGCCAATGTCACAAAGCTCAGATTTATTGCTAAAGTTGCAATGAAATGGAAGTAATGAAATGTAACACATCCGAACGTAACAGATTATTGAAAAAGAAAAAAATATACATAGGGCAGGGACATGGTTCATCAGTTGCTGATAGGATTTCTATCATTTTCACTGGAAGGTCCAGTTCTGATATTTTGATTAAATATCCCTTCGAAAACGGTCATGACAAACATCTCGGGTTACCCATGTAACCATGGTTCCCCAAGAGGGAACAAGACACTGTGTCCTCTAGTGGACACTATGGGGAATGCCATCAGCATGACCGGTGTCTGAAGCCCGTGTGAAAACACTCCAAATCTATTGGGCCACGCAGCCCACGACGTCATTAGCCGTGATGCCAATGACGCCCGGAAAGCTAAAATAACTTGAGAGAAAAGAGGAACCCAACCAACACTAATATTTAAGAAGGGACATCTCATTCAGCCAAGTTGGGAACACAACTCTCCTCAAACAGCTATGTTCCTAAAGGCAATGGGCCATCTACTTGAAACCCTAACGCAGGGGAGATGGCCCAAAGCATGTGGGATTCTGGGGGACTGCCTGCTTGAAAATACCCTGGAATCAGGGGAGGCAGACTAACATATAAAAAAGGAACCTCAGGGGGACCGCCTACTTAAAGCCCTAAAAAGCGCCGGGGAGGCAGCCCAACCCTGCTGAAATATTAGGAAAATTTAGGGAAAGAGCTCACAACTCAGGGGGGAGGTCTTATAAAAGGAAACCAGCCTCATCCAGAACACCCTTTGACAAAAATACTTCCTGAATAGGAAACCTGAAAAGAGAATTGACCTATAGCCATAGGTGGACCGTCTACTTAAAAAAAAACAAAAAAAAAACTCTAATTACAAGGGAAATAGCCCAAGCCAAAGACCAACTTGTCAAAGGGAACCTATCCTCAGACAGTTACCATCTCTGAAGAGGCAGCTATAGTTGGACCGCCTAGCTTACTACCTCTGATACAGGGGGGGCAGCCCGATCTAGGAGACTATATGAATCCAAGGAGCAGCCCAACTCACACATGCAGACCGAACAGAGGGAGCAAGGAGCCCTACTTCAATATTCACATACTTAGTGAGGGACATCTCGTTCCACTCGAGCCAAAGAGCAGCTAGTCAAAGGGAAATTGTCCTCAGACAGCTACCATCTTTGATGTTTCAGGTTGGTCACCATAAACACACTGGAGGCAGCCTGACCTGAAATGCTGCTAAGAAGAGAGCAAGCAACCCTACTCACAACCCCAAATCATTGGGGAGGAGCATCTTGCTATAATCTTCGTAAAAGGGATAGCCATCAAAGGAAACCGTTCTTTAACAGGTATATCCTTGATAAACTTCTGCTTAAGAGGCAACGAGAGGAACGTGAACAGAAACTTTAATTTTCTCTGTGCCCCGCCTACAAACCCTGAGCTCCATCCTGCCTCACCACAACCAAACTGCGGAGTGACTCAAGAGAGAGTCAAGCCTGGGTGGAACCATTTTTGCGACCGCCTCACACGACACGGATTTAACTCCCTCGAGAGCTAAGCGTGCTTAGTTCAAGCATCAGAAACACCCGAGAATGTATCGCTAAGAGAGCCTTCAAATCCTTTGAGAGCCAAACAAACTCATGCAAACGCTGACTACTATCCCTCAGGAGATAACAGAAAAGAAAAGCTACCTAAGCTTACCTATCTCTTTCAGTAGTCTCGCAAATGCATCATACCTGGCACATCCACTCTCTCTTAGAAGTCGAAGGCGTTCCACCCAAGGGTCCACACATCCCACATCCGATGACAATAGGGACAGAGCAAACGGTCTCAAAAACTGAATTCACACTCTCTTAATTTATGCACAAAACGCATCAATTATGCATGTCCTCAGGTCTTAAAACGGAGGCGAACCTGAAACGTTTTGCTGAGTGTTTCCTAATATCCTTGACCCTGAGTTTCTGCTGTGTCTCGGCAGCATTGGGACCCGAGATGCGAGACGCAGACAACCTGTCCCACACTCCTCGAGAATAGGGCCAAACATGAGTGGAGCTTTCTCATTGGAAACTTGATAGAATTAGCATATTCGGCACTGCTCAAGCACTGAAAGCATGTGCTCCTCGCCGAGAGACATAATGCAAAGGTCATGTGTGTCAGAAATCTGGGACACAGAGGCACACAGTTCCTAAAGGGTTCACTTGACTTTTTCGCCATAGTGCTTTCACACACGCTGAACAAACAAACGGCTCCTGAAGACAAAGAAAGTTGATGACGTGCATTACAGACATCCTCTTATCCTTCCGGACGTCAAGGGCTGCGCAGTCCAATGGATTTGGAGTGTTTTCACACATGCTTCAGACACTGGTCATGCTGATGGCACTGCCAATAGTGTCCACTAGAGGTTGCAGTGCGAGATCCGTTGAAGGGGAATTACATTCTAAATGATCTTGGGTGCCAACCATTTATAAGTCTACATTAGGAGAAACATTATAATAAGACCCTTACAAGGACAGATTATTTAGTTTGAGTAACGCAGGTGTTTCATGATCACTTCTGCTCAGTCTAGAAAGAAATATCTCAAAAACAGTGAAGCAACCGCATTTCAGTAATATTTTTCTCTATTTTTAGAGATTTTAAAATCACCTGAGCAAAGAGGTATTCCAGGGAGGTCATCTCCAGCAAAGGAGACGTAACTGGCTCTGCCCCTGTTCCAGTCCGTAATGCATGACGTGTCACTAGCGTTTCCTTTTCACTTAATCCGTGCCAGTTACGGAAGTAAAATCTACAAAGAAATAAAGATTATTAATGATTAACACCATTCATGCACAATGTATCACATATCATTGCATAGATCTCTACAAATGCACACAATCTCATATTTACCTCATACGGAAATGCAGCAAAAGGCCAGACTGGTCTTCCGCATTAAATTTGTGATTTGGACTGTACCAACACGAGGATGCAGGGTCATAAAGAGCAAACAAGGCATGACAGACTGGAGTGATCCCTGAGGAAGACAGAAAACATTTTAGATGGCTGAGAGCAAAAAAAAAAAAAGAACTCAAGTTCTTACTGGCACCCACACCCAAACCTACCCACAGCTTTTGCTGCATTGATGGTGAGATCTTCAGCAGTCACCTCACCCTCCTTGTAGGACAGGCAGCGCTCTCCCTCTTTAGTCCAGAGCAGAAATACATGGAGCCCAGGACCCTCACACTGTCCTGTGAATGTGTGAGCTTTGGATTTTTTTGAACGTCCTCGTCTAGACATTATACATTGAGTCCAGCACCTGGGTCAACAACATACAAGAACGTTCATGATTAAAAACAATGAAGAAAGTCTGGTTTAAATACTCGTGTCAATATCTTAGAAATATAATCTTTGTATTGGTTTCATATGGTTTCGAAACATTTGTACCATTTTAAACACAAGTTTACATTTAATGACTCTAATATGTTGTAACCATCAAGTAAAAACTAACCCTCATAAATCATCTATTTAAAAACATGCTCTTCATAGACCATACAAGATACAAGTCCTTGTATACAGTGGTGTGAAAAAGTGACTAATATTTAAATTTGTTTGATGATCTGAAACATTAAAGTGTGACAAACATGCAAAAAAATAAGAAATCAGGAAGGGGGCTAAAGGGGGTAGCAGGTTAAGCAACTTGGGTAAGCGTAAGCGACCCAGGTAGGCGTAAACAGATAATCTCAACTTTCGATTCCAACTCCAAGATAATGAGATATTTCTCAAGGTATGTAGCCGCCATAGCAACTTATTCTCTAAACATAACTTGCTCCAGAGGTATTCAGCACATGCATGCCATTTTGATGAGGCTCCAGTGGGTGTGACAGCTCACATCATGCACAATATTATATAGTTATATTTTCTTAATTACAAAGCAGTTTTAATAACCTGAAGGAATATTTATTTTAGCTTACAAATCTTAATATATTTTCACATCTCAACCATCGTGGATATGCATTCAAACGTTTATTATATATATATATATACACACATATACATATACACATATATATATAGATATACATACATGTACTTTATATCTGATTTAAAGGACTTCTCAAGTGAGAAAAAAATGTAGGGTGGGGCTTCATTTTGTCGGGAATTGATTGGTTTGTTGGATAATTGTTGTTTAGCAGCCATCTCATGTGATGACAGGTTGTTTTTAGGCAATGGATTATTATAGAGAAGAAATGTTAATGAGAAATAAAATGAGTTGTGCGACAGCCAATCACTGTTTACGGATACCATGGAAATGAATGAGAAGTGCAGTAAACTGAATTCTACCTGTCGCAAAATTGTCCCTGACTTCTCTCATAATTGTTTTTTTATTCAGTATAAACTCTAAAAATAGATCAATCGAAAAGAATATTTAATGGCAAACATGTTGAAGTTTAACTGACAGGCTGGCAATTCATTAAATGATAAGACACTTTCCACAAAAGCACTTGCAACCTTCCGGTCTCTCTCGTGAAACCAACACGGAAGTAGGGCTGCACGATAAATATCGCACGATATTTAATGCGCATCTCGTCAGTAAAGCCGGTTCTGTAATCAGCGGTAAATCTCTACACGTGCGTGCTTTCACGTGGAGCAGCATTAACTACACAGAGCCGTTGTTCACAGACAAGCTGCGCAAAACATGCGCAAAATATGATCGTGGTTTTGCGAAGCACGCACGTGTACGGTTTCAGCAACCAGCTCCCACCTCTTTGCCCATTTTCGATTATCCGGGAGTGACGCGCTGCCAAGATAGCGACGGCCGGCTCCGCCCACTTTGAGCTTCAAAAACGCTCTTTAGAAACCTACGGGTGTTTTTTTACAGTCTATGTTGTTAACATCTGTTTCCATGGTGACTCTTGGATTTAACTTTATGTTGAGTATGTCTTTGTGCTTTGTGTTTTTGAACTATGAGTTTCAAACTCTGAGCTGACCGAATTAAGTCCTGAACTTGTTTTCGATAACCGTGAGTAAACAAAGTTTGGGTCAATCAACCGCAGGGGTGATTCTAGGATTTCAGTCATAGGGAAGCTCACTGTAAGTTAACAGAAATTAACCTTTCCTATTTAATGATGTTTAAAAAATACTGTTAAAAAATTTAATACTGAAATATGAAATTTAAAATAACAAACAAACAAACAAAAAAACGCTAATAGGCCTTAATGAGGGAGTCATTCAACCAACCAAATTGTTCAAGCGGCTGATTCATTCAGGAACGAAGCAAGTGACTGTCTTCACGAATGGGTCGTTGAATCACTGACTCACCTGATTTATTCAAAAACACAGATTCGTTCAGTAACGAAACACTGTTGCGTGTTGCTCAGTGATGTGCAAATTTAGGGGGGCTGAAGCACTTCTAAAAAAGGCCTAGTAACGCCTCTGATCAACCAAGAGTTCAGGGTTTATGTAACGGTACGTTAACACTCCTTTTTGGAAAACACCCCCATACCTGACAGTTACTCTCTTGAATAACAGACTATGACAACACACAACTTACAGGCATACTATGGGATCCGTGTAAAATGTTAAACTTTTATTTTTTGTACAAAATATATAACTTAGTGATGTCAAGATGGTACCAATGATTAAATATTTAACATTTTATAAATTTCAAGATTTTATATTTTACATTAAATATTTAACATTGATTAAATATTTTAACAAATTTTTTTCTGAACACATTTACCAAATTTGATAGTATTACCATTTCATTCTGCATTCTAAGACCATCATGAGATTAATTATTTACTTTATTTTATTAAATAAATTATTTATTTCTGAGGGTTTTAACAGCCCTAGGAATGCTAATAAGAAATACAAATCAAATCTGTTTATAGTTTGATGGATAAAAAGACAAAACATTTATTAAGTTCATCTCTCCTTCCATGTGACATAAATGCATTAATAAATAGCTGTATAGAGTGTTTTATGTAATATTCTTCATTACAATTGCTTTGAAAAAAAATATTTATTGTGAGGATATACAAATAAATTTCAATGGAACTGAAAATGTTTCTCTACAGATTGATACATCTAACATTAATAGCTGTCAGAGCTCAAATACACTCTTGGCTTAATACTTAATATTACTATTAGGTATCAAGTATATACTTAAAACTCGACTTAAGTAAATACTTTGCACATAACATTTTAAAAATTTGCTTTGGTTCAAGTACAGTGACAATAAAAGAGCTAATTATTTAATGTTGCAAAATAAGTTGTATTTGTAATAGCCTAGTTATGATAGTTTTTTTCAGTATAATAATATTTTGTATATTAATGCTATTGTATACCTTAAACACATCAGTGTTCTTATATTTTAGAAAGGGGACCCTCGCAAGAAGATTACCGTATTTGGAGGTCCGTCAAAAGTCTGAATCCTCTAATATAACACAGTGTTTCTTCCCACCATCATTACTATTAATATAACATGCTGTACTGTTGTAATGGCCGTGGTTGGCAAGTCTCAGAAGATTGTGGTCTTAGATTTCCAAAAACTGATAGATAATGTCGGCAAAGACCAACCATTACTTACTAAACTCAAGAATGTGTTTACTATCATTGTATGTAGGCGCAAAATACCGACAAACAACCTTCCTTAAAGAAAATAACATAAGCTACTTCCTGTTTCATATAGCCTACAGCCCCGCCGGGCAACTACCTGATCTCATGTAAATATATAAAAAAAATAATTGGTAAAAAGTATTGAAAACTAATCGTGAGTTAGTATTTACCTACAGGCAGATGAACGACGGTGATTATCTCACACAGAGTATAGTTGTCCTCTTATTACAGGATTCACATCTCTAGCCACTGACGCGCACAGCAGATATTGCGTATTTTCACTCTCTCTCCACGAACTGATCCAAGTGTGAGGACAAGAAGACGCTGCGTTCAGAGACTGCGTTCCAACACCTAGTGAGCTGCCTACTTAGAAATTATGGGGAAACGACAGGGGCGTGTTCAAAATTCGGTGTGCGTAGTCAGTTCGAACGGTATTGAGACACCGCCAGTAAGTGTTTCGTCCGCGAGCTCTTCAAATTAAGAGCTCTTACTGTAAATGCCAAATATTTTACCCTAAACACACACAAAATTATAAGGTTTAGATAGCCTATAATTTAGGCATAATTTAGGTATGATTATTCACTTTTTATTTTATAGACCTACTAATATAAAGCTAATTTAATGTAATGAAAATCAATCAATGAATCAGTCTTGATTTCGAATTATATAATTTGAACTATATATTTTGAAATATAATTTTACAGAATGTTAGATTTATAAATAAATTCAATAAAACCCCACACAGTCGATGCACCTAAAAGAGGAAGATAAAAAATGGCAACACAATACAGCTGTTTAATGTTTTTAACCAAACATATATCAATACATTAAGTCTATGTTTTGTTGTTATTGTTGTTATTATTATTATTAACCATAGATGTTTCGTTGATAAATTCAGTGACGCAACATTTTCCTGTTTTGGTTTAAATAGATAGATAGATAGATAGATAGATAGATAGATTAACCTTTGATAATTAACTTAATGGTTAATTTATTGGCTTTATGATAATTTTTATGTTAAGTCACTATATTATTTCTTCTTTATATATAAATTATTAAAATCATTAATAATTTTAATTCACAGATTAAATCACATTTGTATAACTTTAATGTAAAGTTTCACATGTAATGTTTGATCTTGTATTTATTGCACATTTCCTTCCACTCTCTTTAAAACACGAGGCTTCTTTTTTACCTTTTGAAGATACTTTAGATTTGATTTGATAAAGGGATGCTGAAAACCACTAGAGGGAGCTATTCGACAAACAAACACTCACTCAAGGAAAGGCCAGCAGATTGTGGGCTGATGATACAACCTTCAGCAATTGACGAAGATATGGGCAATAACTGTACGTTATTCTTTGATCACCCATCAAATATCCCTAGAACCTAACAGATATAGCAATATTCGCTGAGAAATTATACATGTCTTTATATATCATTTATTTATTCCTTCCCTTTTCTAGCTTGTACTTATTTGAACAATGCCTAAAACTTGGTATTTCAAGCACTTCCTGTGTCTCTTTGCCTCTTTAAGAAGAATCGCTTTATGTATTCCCCAATTGTAAGTCGCTTTGGATAAAAGCGTCGGCAAAATGACTAAATGTAAATGTAAATATCACAGCTGCTTAGGAGTTTACTTGTATATAACAGTGCTATACCACAGGCCTTCATTTAGCTTACTCATAAATCGAAACAAGAATCAAGGGAACCTGTATGCCTATAAAATGCAAGTTATCTACTGGTTTTAGAACAACTGAACCAGAGTTGTAGGCAAACTCAGAGGATGCAATTTCAAATGAAATGTCCTCAATCCTTTTCCTGAAAGCAAATTGGCTGACCTCAGGTTTCTCAACCAAGAAAATGTAATGGTATTTCCTGTATTTGGTTGCAAACCTCTCTATTATAAAACCAAACACCATGTTTACACAACTAGACTAGAAATTATTGCAAAAGGAGTCTGTAAATCATCAATTGATGCATCTGTCATCTACATGTCACAGCTGTCACAAAAATGAATCGCTAAGTGCTGAAGTAACAAAATTAACATAGGATCAAACTATTAAGTACTGTAACATCATAGTGCAAGATATTTAAAGGAATAGTTCACCCAAAAATGAACATTTGCTGAAAATTTACTCATGCCATCCAGGATATGGATGAGTTTGTTTCTTCATTGGAACAGATTTGGCCAAATGTAGCATTACATCACTTGCTCATCAATGGATCCTCTGCAGTGAATGGGTGCCGTCAGAATGAGAGTCCAAACAGCTGATAAAAACATCACAATAATCCACACAACTCCAGTCCATCAATTAATGTCTTGTGAAGTTGTGTGCTTGTACAAATCTATCATTAGGATGTTTTAATCTTCAAAGCCTTGCTTTGGGGGAAAATAGGAGTCCTTTATGTGAGTCTGGACTCTTGTTCTGACGGCACCCATTCACACTGCTGAGGATCCACTGGTGAGCAAGTGATGTAATGCTACGTTTCTCCAGATCTGTTCCAATTAAGGTAACAAACTCAACTACATCTTGGATGGCCTGAGGGTGAGTACATTTTCTATTCCTTTAATTATATGTTCCAAATTACGTAATAATTTAGTAGTTTCCTCAAATTGTCAATGTTTTTTTTTCTCAAATTTTGAGAAAATAAAAATTTGAATAGCAGCTCCTTTACTCCTGATTTGATAAATAACACAAATGACACAAATACTAATTCCACACAACAACAACTACAACAACAAACAACAACCCTACCCAAACAGAACATGCTTTATCTTTTGTACTGTTTTTATAATTTTTTATTATTGGGTGAGTAAATATCTACAAAAACATTAAAATGTCAGAGCCATCACAGTGTGCCATGGAACATACAAATGCTCTGTTAAAATTAATAAAGCTTACTAGGATAGATTTTACACTTATGTAGGTTAGACTCTCATATTTAACAAATCATAACCCCTGAAAAGAGAGTCCCCTAAAAACATCTAAAATGTAACAAAGAGCCAAGCTAGATTTTGATCTCCCACGTCCAGAAAGTCCTGAGCGTACCATCTAGAACTATATATCTTCGGTTCGTTCTCAAGGTCTCTGGACTGAAACAGCTGTAAAACACACATTAATGGTGAACTGCAGATTAGCATTATTAAAAAGCTCATGAAACATTTGATTGTCTGCTGTTTTGACATTGCCTAAATGTTTAGCAGGACACAGAAACAGACATTTGAAAACTCATTAATGTAGATCTGAAAACAAGGTGTAGGAGGTATTGTACACAAATAGGAGGATCTTACCAGCAATATCTGTAATATACAGCAATAACTGTAACAATAAAAAGTGATCATGACTAGGTATCTTGCGACAGAGGGAGGATCTGAGAGAGCAGTTACAGGAAATCCTGTTCTTGTTATGCTTCCTGTTGCAGAGCAGCACTAACCTCTGTTGCAGCCATCATGCATGTAAGCAACGTTTTTTTTTTTTACTGTTGGGAGGCCATTAAAGACAAGAGCAGTCCACCCAAAAAACTGGCATTTACACTCTTCACTCAAAACTCATGTGAATTTTTACTGCAAATCTCTAAGCATGCATGTTAGTCCATCTCTACCATGGGTTTTTGAAGCATTGTGTGAAGAACAGACTATTTGTTGTGGTATATATTTAAAGAAGAAGAGAGGTGAAGATATAACCACAACTTTTAATGATAAAGAAGCAAAACAAGAACAAGCAAAACAGAAATCATGAATAACAACTGACCAAGAACATAGGAAACACAAGGGCTATATATACACAGACATACACTTGGGGAGACAGGGGAAACCAATCAACAACAAATCTACAGAGAGGCTACAAAACCAGCACAGGAAACAAGAAACCAAGAAACAAACTAAAAAATAAAATAAAATACAAACACAACATAAGGAATGTAAATCACAGTGTGAGGTGAAAATAAGCGCTATTAAAAAAGTGTACTTTGTGATACTGTTGAATTAAAAGTTTTAAAGTACATTTTAAAGTATTGTGTTTTTATAAATGTTGTTGTGCTTTAAAAAGTAAACTTATTTGAATGTTTCTTCAATATTACACTTAAAGTTAATACATTTTAAATGTACTAAATTGCAACTTACAAAATGACAAATGTGTAATTACAAATATATTTATATACATGACATTCAAGATTCAATAGATGTGGCATTAAAGTATATTTTAGTTTACCATGAAATGCTTGTTAGTACATTCTGCAGTACACTTTAACCATATTTCAAGGATAATTGAAGTAATTATGAAACTAAACATACACTTATGTCCTATGTAAGTGTGCCAAAAAACACTCTAAAGTTCAGCTAATTGCATTTAATATAAATTTAAACTATAATACATTTTCATTTAATTGCAATGCAAAGTGTTTGAAAAACATGATTATTATTTCAATAATTATTATTCTTTTAAAAACTGCAAAAGTGTCCTTTTTACAAGGGTTGTATGCTGTTTGCATCTGTTTGTATCTGTTGAAATAAAATGTGTGGAATGTCTTATCTTCTTTTGGGAGTTTCTGTACGCTGAGCGGATCAACTCAGTGAATGGTACTACAAAGCTACACTGTAAAAAAAAAATACATAGGGGCTTCAGAAGCTTGGGGCAGTGCATGAATAAAGATTGTGGTTTGTAGCTGTTTGCAGTAAAACTACTGCATAGGTTTTTGCTTTGCAAAATATTTTAGGCTTCTTTAGATTTTTTTAGATTTTAGATTTTAACTATTAGTAAAACTAAAGTTTTGACAACTGAAAACATCTTGTGTTGCTAAATTATTTGGTGGCATGACAAGAATTTGTAAGAGACATTTTGCATTTAATGAATGAACAATTTAAAACTGGCTAGACAAACTATTAGCGGGGACAAATATTAAGAGAGAACTCAAGTAACTAAGTGCATCATGTTGCCTTGATTTAAAAACAAAGAAAAATGCATTAACATTTACATTTCTAGCGTGTTTTATTGCTCTCACCTTTGGATTTGTGCTTGATGACAAACTGTTTGCTCTTTTTCCCCAGGATATTGGACGCAGTACATGTATATACACCTGGGCCAAAGGATGCAGCTCTCAAAACAGCCTGATTATCAGCCTGCTCCTGAAGGTTTGAGGAGGTCCAGATATACACAGGAGGTGGGTTACCCTCCGCAGTACAATCCAGCATCATTTCACTATCCTCACCGATGTTCAGTATCTCTTCCTCTGGACTGCGGAAGTCAGGCGGGTCTGATTTAAAAAACAAACAAACAAACAAACATTTAACATTAATAGCTATAAAATGTTTGCACTAATTGTTGCCTTTATTCACCTACATTGAACAGCAATGCTGAGAACGTCAGACTGAACTGTTGCAGGAGGTTGAGGTCCTTCTGCTCCCAGCTGCAGCTCTGCTTCACACCTGTACTGAGCACCGTTATCAGCTCTGTTTGGGACAATCAGCAAGGTGGAGGACACCTGGACTGGTGTTGCAGGTGATAACTCTGAGAATGAGTGATTGTAAACCTCAGTTTTTCCTCTGTACCAACGTAAAACAAGGTACTGGACGGGTGCGACGTTCTGCACCTCACACTGTAGATGGTACTCTCTTCCTTCCGCCACTGGACTGCTGTGATTCACTAAACTTATGAACACACTGTCTGGTTTCTCTGCATGAAGACAATTGCAAATTTAAACAAAGGCATTTAATGGAGATATTCAAAAATAAAACATATTAGTTTAGTCCAGTTTAGACCAGCTTAAAGGGGTCATATGATGCGATTTCAAATTTTCCTTTCTCTTTGGAGCGTTACAAGCTCTTGGTGCATAAAGAAGATCTGTAAAGTTGCAAAGACTAAAGTCTCAAATCCAAAGAGATATTCTTTAGAAAAGTTAAGAGTCAACCATGCCCTCCTAAAACGGCTCGTTCTAACACGCCCCACATACCTACATCACTATGTGGGAAGATTTGCATAACACCGCCCAAATGTTCACACAAAGAAAGAAGGAGTAACTTTTATTCTCGCTGTAATATTGTTGCCGCCGC